CCAGCGCCGCGCCTGCGTGCCGGGTCCGCGCGGCGGCCCTGACATGGCGTCCCTCCCGGCAGAGACCAAGGTGTACGTGGGGAACTTGGGCACGGGCGCGGGCAAAGGCGAGCTGGAGAGAGCCTTCAGCTACTACGGGCCCCTGAGAACCGTGTGGATCGCGAGGAACCCGCCGGGGTTTGCCTTCGTGGAGTTCGAAGACCCGAGGGACGCTGAGGATGCTGTCCGTGGGCTTGATGGCAAGTACGTGTGCACTTCAGATGTTTGCAGGAGCTGCAGCCGCTTTTAAGACCAGAGAGAGAACCGGCGTTCTCTCTCTGGTTCTTCTTCTTTTTGTAGTTCTGCCATAAACAGTAACAAGTAACTTAGAGCCATCGTGGACTTGTTGCAGGGTGATATGTGGCAGCAGGGTTAGAGTGGAGGTGTCCACAGGGATGCCGCGTCGCTCCCGTTACGACAGGCCTCCGGCACGGCGCCCCTTTGACCCTAATGACAGATGCTATGAGTGTGGTGAGAAAGGCCACTATGCTTATGATTGTCACCGCTATAGTCGCCGGAGGAGGAGCAGGTACGTGTGGGGCTGCAGTGGCTGGGTTGCTTCAACAGTTTGCTGTTGTGTAGCTCTTGCTAGCAAAGAACAGAATGTTACGTCAGTTTTCTTTAAACTTTAACGCTAGAATAAATGTATAGGTGTATATTACAATTGTTGCTGTTTCTATCAAATGTTAATATCTTAATAATCAACCTGGTCAAAACCTTTCAGGTTTCTTCGTTTGAGTCAGTCGCCTTGATTCAGAATGTCACGAGCCTTAAGATTTCATGCTGAGGCGCCTTGCAAATCCGACATTAAGATCCTCCTAGACCTTGAGGTGATCAGCATAAGAGGCCAGATCCCCTCGAGCCATCTACACGTAGCTTCACCTTATTCTTTGAGGGCAGAAAATTTGAGACGGTGATCGCCGTAACAGTAAATTTGGCTTTCAATTGGGGCCCCCCTCCGGTTTAGAAAGAGGAACACCAGATTGACCACATTCCCACCTAGAAAAATCTTCTTGCGTCAATCAAGCCTCACCCTGGCTCATTGGGCTGTCAGTTTGATCGTCGTTAGATTGAAGAGAACACCTAGATGCAGCGATCGGCTATAGATACTTCTAGACCGTCTAGATCTGCTAGACCTTGGGCCAAAGAGGGTCGACCTGCAAACTTGCAAGGTTTATTTTAAATACGCATTACAGTGTTTTCTATGCTAATGTAATTCTGCAATGTAATTCAGCTTTTAACATTTTTAGGTAGTAAAATGCTCAAGACAAGTAGGCCCAGAGAATTTTTCCAGCTGACAGATGCTAGTGGTGTGTTTTTGTTGTTTTGTTTTGTTTGGGTTTTTTATTTTGTTTTGTTTCTTGTTTGGTTTTTTTTATTACTATTATTATTTTTTAGTTGTCTGAAATCAGTTTTGACTTCAGCAGGGCCTCATGTGCACTGATTCCTGCAGCTGTTTCCTGATACCTGTTTTCTCTAACCTAAAACCAGGTCCCGGTCTAGATCCCGTTCCAGGTCCCGAGGAAGAAGGTATTCTCGGTCACGCAGTCGCAGTCGCGGTAGGAGGTGTGCTGAAGTTTGTCTTTTACTCCTCTTTGCTTCTTTTGGTTAGAAAAAGCTACAGTTCTACAACTCTTCAACTGACTTCTTTGCAGGTCCAGGTCAGCTTCCTATCGTAGGTCCCGGTCCGTTTCTCCTCGTAGGTCTAGATCTGTGTCTCCCCGCCGGTCCCGATCGGGTTCCTTGAAGAGATCAAGGTAATTAATAGTAATGTTTAATAGGTTGTGTGTTTTGGGTTTGTTGTTGTTTTTCGTTTTACTTAAAAGATTCAAGAAAGTATTGGATAGCAGACCTTGAAAGGTGCTAACATCTTGAAATCAGACTTTAGCTTCCTTTAAAAAGTGTCTGATAATCTTAGTTGAATTTACAGGCATGGTAATGCAATTATTTTTGAGACCTTACACGGCTGCATATCCCATGATAAATTTTGATGTCTAGAACGTCTAATGATCATGTAGGTTTTACGTTCAACATGTAGACGTTGATCTAAGTAGTGCTGTAATTGTTACCATTTCTCGTTGACTTCCTCAATTTTGTTTTGTCTTTATTTTTTATTTCAGGTCTAGATCAAGATCCAGATCTAGATCCAGATCTGTTACATGGCCCCGAAGCAGGTAAGATCTCTTCTGTGACTGCAGATGTGTAGTAAAAGTTGCTTAAAAGTCTGTTTAGGATTTCTAACAGCTGTTAACATTTTCAG